GCCAGCCTTGCTCTTCCAATTTCCTGGAGGCTGAGCTAGGACAAAATGTGACTCTCCTTTCGTCCCTAAGTTAGCCACTCAAGGTGGTGGCGTGAAACAGAGGAGAGAAGAAATCTGAGCCCCAGTCTCTGGGACCCCTTTTAAAATCCACCGGCCCTTCTCCCTCCCAGGGTCTCTCCTACTGCCACCTCCCTCCGTGGGCCTGTCCGCTGCCCTGCTGTGGGCGCTGATCTCTTCCTTCAAAGCCTCTCCTTCCTCCTTTTTACCTCTGTGCCCGAAATCTCCGGTCTCTGCCTTCCAGACTCTGGGAGACAGTTCCTGCTATCTCATAACCCGCTCTGACAACTCCAAGAAGCAGCAGAATGAAATGAGAGTTGTCTTTAAAGGATTCTCTGATCAGTTCTTGGGGAAGCTCAGGTCCCATACTGGGCTTCCCTCCCCTACCAGGAGGGAGAAGGGGGTGAGGGTGGGATAGATGAAGGTGCCACAACTCCTCGCCGCCCCACCTGCTCCTGAAGCTGATACCATAGCTCAACATGCCTGTGACTTCTGAGCTTGTGTCACCTATCATGGTAACAGCAAGGGCCTTAGGATCACTGAGAATGAGGTCCGTGAGTCACAGGCTCAAGTCACCCTGTGTGAGGGAGATCAGGCTTAGAGGAATTAAATGACAGACTCCGTGCAGGCCAGAGCCAGCCTTGGTGCCTCCACACTTGGCCACCTCAGAAAGCAAAGCAGGCATCCTTCCAGGGAGGGGCAGTGGCTGGCAGACCAGGGACTCTGCCCTGGGACCCAGGAAGCCTCCAGAGCCTCTCTGGGAGTCAGAGGGAGAGGGGGATGTCGGAACTGCAGCAAACACAGCCAATCCTGCCCTCAAGGGCAGGACACAGCTGGGTGCTGCGGAGCCCCCAGCAAGCAGGTGAAGCCTGCACCTGGGCCTGAGCCTCTCTGTGACCAGGAGCAGCCCCATTGAACTTTATCAACTTACCCCTGATTCTCCCCCAAATACTAGGCTTTGGAGGGTGTGAGTGGGAGAGCCTCACAGAGCTCTGGAAGGAGGGAGCGTGATTCTTGCAAAGACAGTTTGGCAGGGCTTCCAAACGGCCCCCTGAAAGCCCCTGCTGCTGATGTGACACATCAAAGCTGGCGTGGAGACAGCACAGTGGCAGGGAGCGGCAGGGGGGCACCATGCTCAAAGCCACCAGCCTGTCCCCTGCCGCGCAGGCTGCAGGGGGCGCTGTGCCCCACCAGGACCTGCCACCTCTCAACCTGCGTTCTTTGACTGCCTGCACCCCCCTGTTCCCCCAGCTGGCACCCCCACGTCCCCATACCTGTCTAAATGCTGCCTCCTGAATGTGTGTTGTCAGGGAGGGAGAGATGAATCTCAGGAAAAGGGGAAAATGGGCTTGGGATGGAAAGCAGCTCTGCCTGGGGTCAGGAGGGGACCTGAGGGGACAGAGAAGGATGGAAAAGATGAGAGGGGATATATGGAAGGGGGGCAGGGCTGCTTCCTCCCCAGCCTGGGGAAGCTCCCTGGACACCGGGGAGGAAAGACGCCCTCTCTCTGTCCAGCCACTGCCCTACATGGGCAGGGCTCTTTGGTGCTTGGGGTAACTTAAGCCACTGATTCTCCAGGTGTGACCCTGGAGCAGCAGCCCTGGCTGTACCCCAGGACTCCTGGGGAGGGCCCAGCAACCTGTGCTTTACACACCCCAGCTGATCAAGTTGGGAACCAGTGACTTAAGCAAGAATGAGGGTGGCGGGGGACAATGTTACAAGGACACAGAGCTCTCCTGAGATATGAAAAGCAGGGACTCACTGGACGCCCGCCGGCCTGCTTGCCTGTCCGCATCTCTCGTCCATTCTCTTTCTCCCTCTTGTTTTCACTCTTGACTTTTGCTGTCCATGTTGTAGCAACCTGGTGGCCCCATAACTCTCAAGAGAACATGTTATAAGTCTGGTTCCCAGCTAAGGTCTTCTCTCCTTCCCTGACTGGCTGCTCTATCGTTTTCTTCCAATTCCACATCCCTGGAAAAGCCGTGCAGGAACTGAGCCTGGTTTCTTTTGCACACCTCTCATGCCTGCAAAGTGGTTGCTAAAGCTCCAGCTCTTACGTTCTGATCTGGTGGAAGGCAGGGTTGCGCTGATGTCCTGGGCCTGCCTTTCATTGACTGGGATTGGGTCTCTGGCAGCCCCTGAAGCAATCACAGTGGCTAGGGGTGGGATATGCTGATCAGCTGGGACCAATCTGGATCTGAGGGTGGGATTGACCTGCCCAAACCACACACGCTGAAGAACAAGGGGTCGAGTCCTCAAAGGAACTGTGGGGGACTATGCTACTGGAAGTAGGGTGTATGGAAAACAAAAATGAAAGCAAAAGCTATAATATTGTTACTTATTTCTATTGGTGAACTATGTGGAACCTAAAGAGGTCAAGACCTGCCCGTGGTCACACAGCTGGCTGGAGAGCAGCAGCCGCTATGCATCTGAGAGAAGGAAGCCTGCCCTGGACAGGTTGGGGGATGCTAGTGCTGAGGGCGAGTCTCTGCTCCCCAACCCCAGCAGTGGACCTCCGCGTTTGGAATCTGTTTCTACTTCCCTTCCTTAGAGATGCAGGTGGGAGGGGGGGATTTTTGGCCCCCAAGGTGTCCCTGAGAAGAGGGCAGTCTTCCTTGCCCAGTCCTCTGCGGGGGAAGAAGCAGGTGGGATGGGTGTAGAGTGCTCAGGGTTGGCCAGGTGTGGTGGCTCACGCCTGTAATCCTAGCACTCTGGGAGGCTGAGACGGGTGGATTGCTTGAGCTCACGAGTTCAAGACCAGCGAGACCCCCGTTTCTACCAAAGTAGAAAAACTGAAGCAAGAGGATCACTTGAGCCTGAGTTGGAGGTTGCTGTGAGCTATGATACTACAGCACTCTACCCAGGGCAAAAATTTGAGACTCTGTCTCAAAAAAAAAAAGTGCTCAGGGTAGCTATGCACAGCATCAAGCCCTCACCGGGCATCAGGCATGTCCCATCTGTTATTTCAGCATTTCTTTGAAGCACATTTTCTTTCTTTCTTTTTTTTTTTTTTTTTGAGACAGAGTCTCACTATGTTGCCCTGGGTAGAGTCCTGTGGCGTCATAGCTCACAGCAACGTCAAATTCTTGGGCTTAAGCAATTCTCTTGCCTCAGCCTCCTGAGTAGCTAGGACTACAGGCACTTGCCACAGTGCCCGGCTATTTTTTGGTTACAGTTGTCATTGTTGTTTAGCAGGCCTGTGTTGAACTTGAACCTGCCAGCTGTGGCGTATGTGACTGGTGCCCTATTCACTAAGCTATGGCACAAGCCTGAAGCACATATTCTTTGTCTCATTTACAGACAAAGAAACAGAGGCTCAGGGCATTACAGCCACTTGTTCAGGGCCCCTCCGTGGGCAGCTGGGGCCCAGACCATGAGTGGCTGCAGCCACCGATGTGGTGGTCTAGCAGGGCTGCCCTGGGGCCAGTTTGCCCTCAGCACCCCATCCTGCTCCTTGGTGCCAGCATTAACCTCCTCTGGTCAGGGCCATGTGCTCCCCCTTCACCTCCCCCCTGCTGGTCCCTGCCCTGTGAGCCCACCACTGTGAATGGTGCCACAGGGAGGTCCTTTATCGCCACCGTCACGTGCCCAAGTCCAGCCTGCTCAGGGAACAGCAGGGCCTGTAGGTAACAGCAGGGCCACCTCCGTGAGAACCAGGACAACTGCATTTGCAGGAGCCAAGCCCCTGCAAGGACCCTCCCCAACTCACCCAGCTTTTCCTTTTCCTCTGACACCCCATTCTGCCTGTCTGGGGTCCTTCCTCTGAACGGGTCAGTCTAGCTGGTTCATTGAGCACAGGTAAGTTATTTGGGGGTAAAAAAACAATGCTGAACCTCAATAGCTCGAGGTGGGCGAGGTCCATCTATCTCCCCCACCCTTGCCACCAGGCACAACAAAAGCAAAGTGTGGACAAATTCTGCCATGTGTGCAGACACTTACTAGAGCACCAAAGGCACTTCTCACAGCTGCTGGAGAAGCTCTGTGCCAGCCCTGCTCCCTGTCCTTCTAGATGCCGTGATACGACAGCATCCTGGAGGCAGGGGCCGGTCACTCTGAACACACACAAATGTTGGTTCTAGAACTAAAGACCGCAACCTCTCTCCAGCAGCACTTGGCCACCACCGGCCCTCAGGGCCCTGTGGGAAATGAGAAAGTACTCATACCCCTAGGCCTGTGGGAGAAGGAGAGTGGGGTAGATTTCCCCTGCCTTCATGTGTCAACTTCATATAAAGTTGAGTGATGTCGTGTGTGCCTGGTGCTTGGCACATGGTGCATACTCAGCAAGCCCAGCCGTCCTTGTGAGTGAACAAGGAGTTGGCAGCACGGCTTCCTGCGGCCTTGACGCTATGAAGCTGGGGCTATGGTCTGCTGATTGATGCAACCGGCTTTCCAGGGAAAAGGCCCCTTCCCCTTTACCATTTGCCCATTGCTGTGATGTAATCACTCCCATCAGGGCCCATCTCAGATTCCTAACGTGGAGTCCCTGATCATGGAGTAGGGAGAGGTCATGGGCTCCTCCCACACATCACTGTCTGGGCTGCAGAGACAGGAAGATACAATCCCTTTCCTTGGGAGACTTCACAGCTCACTGGGGACACAGACACACTGGCCATGTGGTTAGTGCAAGAACAAGTTTGCCATCTGGGATTATGGAGCATGGGAAGCATCACCCAGCCTGGGTTTGGGGCTGCAGCTCTGAGGGCGCTCTGGAGCCATTCCGGGCATTCTGGCAGGAGCCTGTGGTGGGAGGGACCATCAAAGAAGGGCTGGGGGGAGCTCAAGGCAGAGGGTGAAGCAGCAGAGACTGGGGGAGAGGTGAGGCCAGGTGGCTGGCCTGGGCTGCTTAGAGACAGAGCAGTCAGCCATGGACACCTGCCAGCACATGGCCTTTTAAGCTCAAGATCCAAGTTCAGACCCTCTTCTCGTGTTGTCTTTTCCTTTAGACAGTTCCCAGCATGCTGCTCATCAAACTGATGGAGGAACGCTTGGCTGAGGAGGACTGCATCAGACGGGTGAGAGTCCAGCGAGGAGGGCGTTGTTACAGCGAGGATTAAAGGGGACACTGGCAGGTGGGGGCAGGGGGTGTTCATCTCCCAGAGCAGAGAGGACAGAGGCACACGCAGAAGGGAAAGGAGACACACAAAAGTTTGGTGAAGGTCAGTCTGTGGACGTGGACGTCACCTTTCAAGAAGAAGGAACAGTGTAGAACATGGAGGATCCAGCAGGGCTGCCACTTAGAGGGGGCCCAGGAGAGCGTTTAATGAAGGACATCTGCAGACGTGTGGGAGGGTTAAGGCAACTGATGACCGAAGGTGAAGCCCCCAGGGATTGGCAGTGGCAGGGAGCCGTTGTGCCTCTGTACATGAAGGGGCAGGAAGAGGGTGACCTAGAGCTGTGGGGGCCCCAGGGGACAGGATGAAGAATAAACCACTGCCACACATTGCGGGGGCAGAGCAAGAATCAGGATGTCACTTTGGCGGATCCCATGAAGCTGCAGGACAGGAGTCCAAAGGAAGCGGTCAGCTGAGGTCTGCCTCCTGGGGCCAGAGGAGGGGGCGGGGTGCTCAGGAGGGGCCCTTGGGAGATGACAAGTGTCGTGACCATCTACTGGCCTCTGGTGGTTGCCAGGGAGGGCTTTCCACAGTGCCTTGAATGGCTGGGTCCTCACAGGAACCCTGTGGGGTCAGCACTGCCATTCCGTCCCCCATTACAGATGGGAATTGAGATTTGCGGTGTGATCTGTACGTCATTCTCTCAGTCTACAGTCTGTCTAAACAGGGTCTTTCACAGAGCAAACGTTTTCAGCTTTAATCAAGTTCAATTTATCAGCTATTTCAACTTATCTCTTGTTTTTGTTTTTTCTTTGAGACAGAGTCTCAGTAGGTCGCCCCGTGTAGAGTGCTGTGGCATGCTAGTCGCAGCAACCTCAAACTCTTACCTCAGCCTTGTGAGTAGCTGGGACTACAGGCATCTGCCATGATGCCTGGCTATTTTTTGGTTGCAGTTGTCATTGTTGTTTAGCTGGCCCGGGCCAGGTTTGAACCCACCACCTTTGGTGTTTGTGGCTGGTGCCATAACCACTGTACTACGGGTGCCGAGCCTGTTGTGGGTTTTCTTTTTTACTATATCTGTGTAATCTTTTTAGTGGCTGTGCTGTTAGTTACAGTGCGTATCCTCACCGTTTCCATCAGTATTTTGCCTCTTCAAGCCCCTCTACTCTCTGTGTTGTAGTCGCCTTGGGCATTGCTTCCATATGCATCTAAAATCCTGTCAGACAGCATTAGGATTTTTGTTTTTGGTCATCAAACATATTTTGAAGAATCCAGGATGAGACTGACGTGAGTAAAAATCTATTGTATTTACCGAGACATTTACCATTTCAGTTGCTCTTCCTCCATTCCTCATGTTCCAAGGGTCCTTTCCTGTCTGAAAAACTTCTATTAGATTCTTTTAGAGTAAATATGCCAGTGCTGAATTCTCCTTCATCTGAAGATGTTTTGGATTTGCCTTCGTTCCTGAAGTAGATTTCTTTCTGGATTTAGAGTTCTAGGTTGATAGTTTTTCTCTTTGAGCAAGTGTTTGTTGTTCCATTTATTTTTGACTACTATGGTTTCTGATGAGAAATCTATAGTCTTGCAAGTTCTTTTATATGTAATGCATCATTTTGTCTGGCTATTTTGGAGACTTTGTCCTTTATTTTTAGTTTTCACTAATTTAAGTATGATATGTCTGGCATAAATTTCTTCAGGTTTATTCTTTTTGGTATTTGCTGAGCTCCTTGAATGTATAGGTTTATTGTTCTTCAAACTTGTAAAGTTTTCAGCCTTTTTTTCTTCTTTCTTTCTTTCTATTTTATTAGGGGTTTTTGAGACAGGGTCTCTCTTGCCCTGGATAGAGTGCTGTAGCATCATAGCTCACAGCAACCTCAAACTCTTAGGCTCAAGTGATTCTCTTGCCTCAGCCTCCCAAGTAGCTGGGACTACAGGCACCTGCCACAACACCTGGCTAGTTTTTCTATTTTTGGTAGCGATAGGGTCTAACTTTACTTAGGCTTATCTCAAACTCCTGAGCTCAAGGGATCCACCTGCCTCAGCCTCCCAGAGTGCTGGGATTACAGGTGTGAGCCACCATGCTTGGCCCAGCCCATTTCTTAAAATAATTCTCTGCACTATACTCTTTCTCTTCTCCTTCTGAGACTCCAACAACATGAACACTAGACTTTTTGGTATTTGCCCCCAGGTCTCTGAGGCTCTGGTTGTTTTTTTCTCTCTCTCTAATCTTCTTTTCTTTCTGTTGATCAGATTTGGCCATTTGTATTGAACCATTGTCAGGTTCTTTGAATCTTTCCTCTTCTTTCCTTTCATTCTATTATTATGCCCATCCCGCAAAACCATATTATTTTGGTTATTGCATTTATCACTTCTAAAATATCTATTTGCTGCTTCTTTCTACCTTCTATTTCTTGGCTGAGACTTTCTGTCTTTCCATTTGTGTAGTGGTGGAGTTTTTTTTTTTTTTTTTGAGACAGAGTCTCACTATGTCACCCTTCGTAGAGTGCTGTGGCATCACAGCTCACAGCAACCTCAAACTCTTACCTCAGCCTCCCGAGTAGTTGGGACAATAGGCACCCACCACAACACCTGGATTTTTTTTGGTTGTAGTTGTTGTTTGGCAGGCCCAGGCTGGATTTGAACCCACCAGCTGTGGTGGAGCTTTTTTTTATAATAGCTGCTATAGAGTGTTTGTCCAATAATTCCAGGATCTGAGTCCTACTGGTGGTGACATCTGTTGCCTCTTCTCATGTGAGTAGAGATTGTCCTGGTTCTCCCTGTGTTGAGTAGTTTTGTGTCCTGGACATTTTTAACGTATTCAGACTCTGGGTCTTGTCTAAATCCTATGATGAATGCTCATGTTTTTGTCTCAGCAAGTGACTGATTCAGTTGAGTTCAGCCTACAGATTCCAACCAGACTTCTCTAGGTTTGGGTTTCACTGTTAGCCCTGTTTTAGCACCACTGCAGTGCTGCATGGTGACCGTGCAGTGACTATGCCATGCTGTGTGTGCACCACAGGGGGATCTGAGCAGTGGTCTCTGCCACAGTTCACTTCCCCGTGTCTGTGGGAAGCTGGTTAGGGTCAGACCCACCCATGCAAGCTTAGGGACGAAGCTGTTGATTCACACACACCTGAGCTCCCTCCTGCCCTTCCCTGGTAACTCCCAGTTGCCTGCTGCTCCTTTTTATGGCCTTTTGGCCACAAAGCTGGGGCTTTACTTCTCCTTCTCTGCCACATACTTCCTGGGGCTGCACCCATGATCAGGGCCAGGTGGCAGGAGACAGAGAAAGTAAAAGATAACGGGGTTCTCCTCCATTCTCTGGGGGCCCGAGAGGAAGTGTCCTCTCCTCAGTTTCAGGCACCTGCAGGCCCCTTTTTGTCACAGCTGTGCCACTGCAGCTTCAGAATGAGGAAAGGGAAACGCCCAGAGACTTCTGCTCTCTTACTGTTAGGAGCACCTTTTCTGTTCTCCCCCCGGCCCTCTCTATCACCATGCGGTGCCCACTTTCAGAACCAGGCCAGAAGATGCTGTCTTTAGAATTCTGGGTTTTTTCCCCAATTTGTCTACTATTGGATAATTTTTGAGTCCCCAAATAGTTGCTCCCTGTGTCCTATGCATGTTTTATATCTGCTTTCAGTGAGGGCAATAAGGTCAGGGTGTGCTTACCCCATCTTGCCCAGAACTAAAACTTGTGTACTTTTTATAAAACACACACATAGATATGCATTTAAACGTACATGCATACATATGTATGTACGCACAGACATACAGTGCGTACTCTCTAGTTCAAAAACTGGAAATTGATTTGGGAGACCCCAAATCTTTGAAAAGATACCCAGGAATCTTTCTGGCATGCTGCCAGATGAGCACAGCTCGCTCTGCATGGTCCTCAGTCATGTGATCTAAATGGTAAGAGCCGGCTCGGCGCCTGTGGCTCAAGAGGCTAAGGCGCCAGCCACATACACCTGAGCTGGCGGGTTCGAATCCAGCCTGGGCCCACCAAACAACAATGATGGCTACAACCAAAAAATAGCCAGGTGTTGGGGAGCCAAGCATTTAACTTCTAGAGCGCTTCTTGACCTTCTTGAAAAGCTTGTTCTGCACCTTTTGGCATAGGGCAGACAAGACCATGTGTCCCATCCATGCCAGCAGCTACCACTGCCATCAAACTGATGATGAAGTTTATTGTTTGTGCAATCAGTTAATTGACGTCATTAGTTATGTTACACCATACGTGATATGTCATATTATGTGATAATCAATGTACTGATTACATTAATGTTTATGACATACATTATCGTTATGATTATTTGGATGATGGCGGTAGTTGTCTGGACGCCTGGTCTGGCCTGTTATCTGTTACATCACACTGCAGGTGCCCCTTGCACCATGCAGAGAGGCTGTGATTATGACATTCCTGAGGGCTTCCATTGACTGGGAGGGCAGCACATGCAGCCAGGGCTGTGTGTTGTGTCCTGCGCCTGACTGAGTCTTTATAGTAGCCCTCTGGAGGTGGCACTGCCACTGCCCCTATTTCACAGATGCAGAAGCCAGGACCTGTGTCTTACTGAAGGTCCCCCAGTAAGTCCCCGAACCCAGAGGCAAGCAGGGCACTGTACTGCTGGCCACTCTGTTGTTTCAAAAGCTGGGTCCCACGGAGGTGTGGGCATTGTTACTCTGGTGAGAGCTTTGCTGCCTTATGCTTCAGTTTCCCCATCTGTAAGACCGTGGGGTTGCGCTTGAGTGCAGAAACTCCTTCTTCCCCTACAGTCTATGATTTTGATCATGTCCAAACCATTGTTACCTGCAGAGTAAAGAAATATCTCTTTCAATTTGTTTTAAAATTTCTTCTAACCTTCAAGGAGCATCCAGTACCTTTTCATCTCTTCCCAGTGGAGACAGGATTTCAAGAGTAAGAGGTTAGGCTTCTAATTATGTGCTTTGGTTGTTCAAAACAA